AAAAAAAAAAAACGCAAATATTTTATTATTTATGACATTGGTATTTTCAAGTATTGTGATTAATTGTATAGAAACTTACAATTACAATATTCAGAAATTCATTTCATCCAAAACGATGCTTCAAACTTCCGAACAGGAGTGTATATAAAGTAGCAGGGAGTGAGAGTGAAAGAGAGAGAGAGAGAGAGAGAGAGAGAGAGAGAGAGAGAGAGAGAGACTTACCGCCAAAATCGGTGGTTCTAAATTCAAATCGATGGGGTTCATCACAATGAAGACTTGCTGATTCTTGTGCGTCAGACCGCCGGGCTCCCGAAGTGCAGCCTTGCAATAATATTGCACCCAGCCGTGTTTGCCTAAGAAAGTTGACGGTAGGCCCAGTGGTAGGCCTAATTTGAATGGAAAGCTGTGAATCCCCGGTGACAGCAGTGACGGTCCCTCTCCTGGATTCCGATGTTGTACGCAGAGAACAAAAAGGAACAGTTCTTGCATTATTATGCACGGTGCGGTTCGCGGGTGTGCCGTTTGTGAAGTGAAGAATTTGATGGCTTTCAAGTATATGTCATTAATGCTATCAACTACGAAAATAACAAACTATCATTAGATTGAGGATATTTATGCAAATTCATAATTTTATTAATGTAATTAGTATTTAAGCTAGGTAGAAGATTTACTCACTGGACATTACAGCATTAAGCACTGTATTTTTTAAAGATATTTATTTGTTAGTGGTGTGCATTTTTGCAGCTTCAGATTTCCAATAAATGCATAAAAATCTAGCAGCTTAATCGTTACTTATTATTGGCGAAAAGATGCAAGCATTTCTGATAAATTTTTTTATCAACTCTTCGTAAGGAGATCTCCTTAAATTCGACATTCGAGGAAGCTGAGAATTATTATTAAAAATTTCATTTATTTTGCAATTTAGTTCTTTTTAAATAGAGGGAAGAACGTCGCTCGTCAATTCGGCTATTGTCGCGAGCATTTATGCAAATTCGTGTAAAGTTAATTTATCTATTAAGATGTTCCAGATCGCAGGCTTATCATCCGAGAGCTCATTATTCGAACACGCTGTGCCCGTTTCATCTTAACGGCTACATTAAATGTACCGTAATGTAATTTCTTTTCATTACCTGGCTCGCCCAGCAATCTCATACGAAAATCTATATAGTTTTCTTTGTCGTAAACCCTTTCGGCGCGTTGACTGCGTACACGCACCACTCCTTCACCGATCACATGAAAATGCAACCCTGAAACACTGTGACACATCGACGGTGTTATTATAGTCGACGAAATAAATTTAACAATTCTAATAAATTACCAGTAGGCTATTACGATATTTGATGTCTAAATTAAAAACGAAGAAATTTAATTCGATTATAACGATGTGTTCGAGATAATGCAGCTTTTAAAAAAGGAAAAAAATTCAACGTCGTTAACGGCATGACAATTATTTTGTTGAATTGACATTCTGGAGAGGGCTGCGTGCAATTGCGACAAAACAATGCATTTTAATGGATTTCTAACAAGGTGGAAAGTTCGCATTATCTTATTTTATTGCGAACATTGCATTCGCTAGATACTCGTTTAATCAGTCATACAACTATGTACCGTAACTATTCGATATATCGTAATTCACATCGTGAAAGTTTTCAATGTCTACAATGGAAGACGTTACGCGTTAAGGTTACATCTGACGAAACGTAATTATTTAACGTAATGTACACGCTTTCACGCGCTCCCTGGTGTTTCACGAAATACAAAAATATAACTTCAAATAATCGCTCCACGTTAATCTTCAAAGTTAGCCTAGTTTAGTAATTTGAATTTTGAGTGCTTTAATGATTGAAATTTCCTTCCAATTCCCCTTGAAATGAATAATTTAATAGAAACATGTACAAAGGCCATTTATATCTGTTAATAAGATTCCGCGCGATTTTTTATATGTTACACGACAAAGATGGTATATACTTACTAAGCCTCGTCGTCCAACTCGATAAGTACCCGACCGGACAAGAAGTGGCCGGGGAAATACAAGAGATTCGTGTTATCGAAGAGTATCAAAAACTTGCTGAGTTTTCGCGTCATGATCTCATACAGCACGTTGCTCAAGGATCGACGACAAGGATGACGGATGATGCTCGCGTCAGAGCGGCCTCGCGGTAACTGATTATGCGCCAAGTTGTTGCGAGCACGAAATTTTTTCCAACGGGGACCGCAGCAGCAGGCATGTCAGTGAGAATCACTGGCACACACTGGATCGTACCAGCACCACACGCCCATAACCTTGTGCACGCTACGTTTCTCTCTTTGGAATCTCACTCCGCCAGCCAGCCTTTTCTCGATCGAGCAATCGCGTTCCTCCGCACTTTCATTTTTCGCGTTACCCTGCGTCGCGATTCTCCACACAGCTGAGTCGATCGTTGTTCACCACGGTGATCTATAACTTGCCACTCGATTGAATGGAAACGTTGCAATAATGACGCTCCTACGCTATTATCCGTCAAACTTTCTGCCAGCCAGGAGCCTCAAGGAGCCCGTCTCTTCCTGCCCATTCTTGGAGTTGTGTTCACTTTCGCTCCCCTACCTCCGGTCGCCGGTTACCACCTCCAATCCGCGTAATCACCTGCTTTCCTCCAGCGGCCAATGAAGAACCGCTTCCAGTTTCTTGTACATCGAGCCTCGGGATTAGATCGTCTAGATTTGGCGGCATTGCTGTATCGCATCACCTTGCTAAACGGACTGTACACGCGGTCGATGAATAAAATCGATAAGGTTCGTCTGGCACACTGCATCGTGGATCGTTCTCCATAACCCGTGGCCTGATACGCTCCGCCGATAAGTTCGGCACGGTGCATGAGTTCACCGGGACGTCAACCAGCCAATATCAAAATTATATATACAGCTGCGATTTTCGTATCCTATGTTCTGGTGGTCACTTGATTTGTTAATATTTCTATCTAGCAAAGTTACACTTCCACCAATTTATTACAATTTCAAATATAATAAATTGTTGATTTTTTACCGGTTAAAACGAAATTTACACTTTCATGATATTAATTTTTAAGTTACAACTGGATTGATATATATTAAATAAGAATTTATGTATTTAAAAATCAAGTTAAGCAATGACTAAATCCTGATAAGTTATTATGTCTTCGCTAAGTCCATGATTATTTTTCACGTACTTAAGTGTAAAAGCAGAACAATCACACAATATATTTCTACACGTTAAATAGCCTAACATATATTCTAAACAAAATTAATATTTTATGTTCTTCTTCTGAACATGCAGTCTATATAATTTCAATGATTAGTTCAAAAGAAAAATTCTAGCGCTTTAAGTTATATTTATACACATTAAATTGTAGTTTCCAAAGTTTTATTATTGTAATATTTAAGAAGAAATTATGATATATATAAAATTTTTTAAATTATTTTCATGGAATATTTAAATAGTGAACGTGGCGCCCCCGTGTGAACGCGCCACGAAATATCGACATAGCAGGCTAGCACGTAGTTGTGCGCTAGTACTTGCGTAAGTTACAATGGAGAGAAAGGTTATAGATCAAAAAGAATATTTAAAAAAATATTTGTCCTCGGGGGATGACAAGAAGAAAAAGAAAAAGAAAAAGACGAAACTGGGAGCAAAGACGTAAGTTTCAATTTGCAAATATCATAGCTTGTTTCGACATTTTCAACAGGAAATCCTTGTGTTTTAGGTTATAGTAATTGTTTCACACATCTTCTTGGAAGATGAAGTATTTCGAATGTTTGAAACTGTAACGCATAATAAACAAAATACTCTTACTTACTATCATTTTCTTAATTGAATGTTACGTTTATGGAAGATTGTTCGAATGCGCAAAAAGAATTTTGGTCAAATCAAATTGTAAAATCCACAATCGATTTTAAAGACTTTAGACAATAATCCTTCAAAGGTTATTCACTTCTTTGCACAAATGTTGAGATGTATTTTGCAGAGTAAAGATCATTGACGATGACATAGACCTGAAGAATTTGAGACCAATGGAAGAGAATGAATTTGATATTTTCATCGATGCAGAAGATGCACCTCAAATTGCTGGCGTGGTGGATGAACGTGGACCAGTTGATTTCACTGACAAAAGAAGATGGAAAATTATAGCTAATGACGAAGATGGTGATTTAACTATAACTAGTGTAGATAGAGGAAGTAAGCAATTCGAAGAAGCAAACAATATATCTGATAATAGTCCAAATCCATTGAGAAAAGAAAATGAATATTCAGACGACGACTTGTCTCCTCCACGAATATCTAAAAAGACAAAGGACCAGACAAATAGAAAAGCAAAAAAAGATGAGGATAGTGATGATTTAAGCCCACCTAGAATAAAATATAAAAGGCATAATATCAAGCATAGTAGCAGTGATAATGATAGTAGTCAAGACATAGGTGTTTCATCTCACAGAATGAAAAAGAGAATAAAAAGAAAAGAGAAAATATCTGATGACTCTGATTTAAGTCCACCGAGGAAAAGTAAAAAGCATAAATCTGAGAAAAGTACAAAGCATAGAGATGCAAATAATTCAGACTTTAGCCCTCCTAGGAAAAATAGAAAAGATTCTGATTCTGATTTGAGTCCTGAGAGAAATAGAAAAAGTAAAGATTATGAATCAGGCTTAAACTTAGCAAGAAGAAGTAAAAATCATAAACGTAGGACGAGAGATAATGATTCTGAGCATAGCCCATCTAATAGAAAATATGAAAGAGATGTGAATGCTCATATGAGTTCCAAATACAGAAGTAGACGCGACAAGTCAATTGAAATAACGAGAAACAGGCATGATAATTCATTTAAAGAAAGTTCACCAAGATATCGTAAGTATAAAAATGAAAAACCTGGTAGAAGTAGAATGCATAAACATTCTGAAAAAAATCCAGACAAAAGACACGATTCAGATATGAGTCTGTCTCGTAAAAGAAACAGAGATATTTATTCAAGCTCAAATAGATTTAGAGAAGACAATAGAGATTTCTATAAGTTTAAATCGAATAAATTTGGTGATCGATATGATAACGATTCTAATTATCGTTCACGCAAAGAAGACATTTATGTCAAGGAAAGAAAATCAAAGCATGGGGATGTAGACGAAGAAGATAGCGAAAAACGAATGGAGAAAACATTAGATGGAAAAAAAGCTGGCTTACAAGATGCTAAAACATTGCGGGAAGAAACAGAGGCATATAAAAAGCGAGAAGCTGAACATTTTAGCAAGGTATTTGAATAAGTTTCATTTTTCGTTTATAATTTCTAATTTATATCTTATTAAAAAATAAAATTTCGTTTTCTTCAGCTTGGCAAAGAGATTACAGGAGTTGGACAAGCGGCGATTGTACGCGATACTAAAACAGGTAAAAAACGTGATTTGGAAGCAGAAGCGAAAGAAGAACGGGAGAAACAGAAGCGACAAGCGGAATTAGACGAAAAATACGCTAAATGGGGGAAAGGGTAAGCGATAAGGAATTCAATTTGTAAAGTGAAATTATCGTGGACAATGTTTCTGAAAAGCATATGTGTTACATCAGCTTGAAACAAGTTGAGGATCATGAAGAAAAGCTGAAAGACGATCTTTATGAAATGAGTAAGCCTCTAGCAAGGTACGCGGATGACGCTGATTTAGACAAAAGACTTAGGGAACAAGAAAGAGAAGGTGATCCTATGTTAGAATATATTAAACAAAAACAGATAAAAGAAGGGAAGAGGAAACCAGGTAAAGCTTTATACTTTTAATTCCGGGAAAATCTTCGTATTCATGATGATGGTTTAATTGGTATGCGATTATGTGTGTTCTCAGATCGACCAAAGTACGAAGGATCATTTATGCCAAATCGTTTCGGTATCAAACCCGGTCATAGATGGGACGGAGTTGACAGAAGTAATGGGTACGAAAAACGATGGTTCGAAGCGCAAAATGCCAAGGTAGCGCGTCAAGAAGAAGCTTATAAATGGAGCACTTCCGATATGTAAAATGTACACGTTTAACCTTTTTTTTTATACGTTATACACGAGCAGTATGATTTAATTGTTAATCAAGAAATTGAAAATATACAGGATGTTCAAATTATTGTTACAAATATTTTGACATATATAGATATTTTTGAATCATTGAGTAAAATATTACAGTAAGATACAATCAAGTGGATAGCTATAGATGAAAAAAAAAAAAAAAGAAAGATGATATGTAAAATCAAGTTATTCCCAGATTAATGATTTGTCGATATAAATATTAATGTTAATACATCCTGTATATATTAGACATTGTAAAATATAATTTCTATCACCCATATATTCAATAAACATCGCTGCTAATTAAATTCGTTACTAATCATTGTTACTTCTGATCCTCAATATTTTCTGTATCGGGAGGATCGCGCATGCCAGAGAAGCATTAAAACTACCGACAGCTATTTGTCAGTACCGCTCTCGCGAGTCACGCGACTACGAAACGCAAACAAACGTGTAAGTCGCGTCCGTGAAATATGAATCATCAACGGTGGTAAATCGCGGGGGATTATCAAAACTACAAAATCGATATTCGTTCCAGAAAACAGGAAGACCGCGAGAGCTGCTGGCGCCTGTCTGCCACCGGTCTCGTCGTTTCAGTACAATAAAACAACCGGCCGTAGTACGTATCCGTTTATGAAATCGATTGAACCTTGCAAAACTACTCTCTTCTTGGATGGTGCATGAGAATTGGGAGTGGCGCGTGATTAACTAGCGAGATACAGCCAGAACGAAACTCGAATAATCCACCCTCTGGTGGAAGAAACACTCGACAGATGCAAAATTACGAGAAATTGCAGCATCTCTGAAAGGCAATGTTGCATATGGAAGATCCGCCGTAGACGTGCACACTGTTATTGGTTTTCGCGCGCATGCAGCGTATGTGTACGTTCACGCAGACAGAGATCACGAAGGAATATATATCGACTCGCGTAGTCGCGACGCAAGGGCAGGGTCGTCGGCAGTGTCAGTACGTCTCGCGACGCCGACGAGAATTGTGTTCGTGGTATATTCGTTCGTAGGTTAGCGTTTAGTGTTCGCCGGCAAGTAGCTTTTGTACAGTGTTTAATATATAGATAGATATATATATATATATATATATACATACATACATACACATATATTTTTCTTAACCGGTTGTTAAACTCGCGAAGGGAAGAGACGGCGTAACCGATCGAATTTACGATACGTCCACGATTTGACCAATCACAAAGAATCAATTGTATTTTCGTTTTCTCAACGAATTGCTGCGAATAAGCCGGCACCGCGACGTGTCGTTCACCTTCGCCGGGCCCACCAGACGAGAGCCGAGATTTTTGGAAACGCCGAAAATAAACGCTGTGATCTTCCCTACTGTCCACAACTCGTCCTTGCCGAGAAGTGTCGGCAGTTTTCCCCAACGTGCGACCACGGTCCCTCGTTTCGCGACTCGATGTCAACGAGGAAACCGTTCACGATTAGTCGATCGTAGTCGCGAATTACGCGCAGCGAGTGTCGCGAGTAACGCGAGTGGGCGTTTGCTGTTGACTGAGGATAGAGAAGAGATAGAGGAAAAGGAAGAGAGCTAGGGAGAGCCGGAGTGAAAATGGGGTGCAACACGAGCAAGGAGAGTGTCCAGCCGGTAGGGGATGAAGCGAAGGAGGACGAGAAGAACGGTGGTGAGTAACTTGCTCTTGTCAATTTATTACATTACTTGTTTAGAGCATATACACGATGAATGTTGATTAGTTACGATATCTACCAAGAAGATACGTAATTACGCGGACTACATTAGCTATTTTTTTATCCAACTGACAGTGAAATGCGCTGTGCAGTATACACTGTAGAGGAACGAAAAGCAGCACGTACGATAGTTTAATTTAAAATAATGCGAACTGCAATTTTGCTCGTCGAATGAACGTTAGCCTACTGGGGGCGGCTATGAAAATTGTAATAGACAAGACCCGTGGACTATTTCAATTTGCACACGCCGTTGAAGCAATTCATCGTGAAAGTTCCCCACTCTTCGTGATTTGTTATTCCTTGCCGTCGAATGAAATAAATTCACGGAGTGGTATTTCAAAGAATATACAACTTTCCGAAAGAATAACAGTTTGTAATCGTTGAATTGAGAGAATTAATTGCGCCGCGGGTCAAGAACGTTCTCGTAGAAGGACGTGTTTCTAATCTCGTTGAAAATGCGCGGTTCGTTTGTTGTTTTTCCCTTCGAAGGACGACTCGAAGAATTATGGACTTCTTTTTGCTGCTGCCAGAGGTCCTTGGGCGTCGTTCAAAGTTTAATACTTGACTGGTCATGGTTAGCGCGACTACCGGTCGCGCCGCGTCGTGAAAGAACGCGAAACGCGAGGAATCCGTCGAGTAACGAAATTATAATGAAATCGATTTGCAAGAGCGCGGTGGCATTCGAGCGTCGAATGCCGTGGCTTCTGACTAACGAACGCTTGCAATTAAGAACTTTTTCAATCCCACAGCTGGCTGAAAACATATTTTATTATTCGACTCTTCGAGAAAATTTACAATGTCGGTCGAACGTAAGTGCAGCGGAGCTTTTTATCATCCTAAGCTCGACCATCCGAATACTCTAATATTATATCGTCAGTGACAAGTATTTTTTTTTGTAATAAAATATTTCATAAGTGCGAAGAAAGCTTATGAAAGACACTAAAAATATCTAGAAAGATACTAAAGTATGGGGTACAAGGTTTTATTCAAAATGATAAAAATGATAAATTAACATTTCGTTCATGGCAAAGATGTCGTGGACATAATTTTTTCTACGGATTGAAACGAAGATAATGAGGATATGTCTTCTTACGCTGAAACAAAAAATGGCAGCACAAAAGGGATGCACTTACTTAGATGCTAAAAAGATTAGGTATTTTAATAGTCAAGAAGATACAACGTTCTTAAATATTGAAATAAATCCTACGTGCAATTTAATATGTCAGAAAAGATATTGACGTTGAAAATACGAAAATACGATATTTCTTCTTAGATAATAAATGTGTTCTAAAATTTGTTATTCGAAGCACATATTTTGTTCTTGAAGTTCTCGTGATTGCTGATTGATATCGTGTAATTTGTCTGTAAGAAATTTTTAATTACTGGACTTGTGTCTCTTCTCTCATTGTTCCGAAGTGGCATGTTTTGCGATGTTGAGACGTCAATAGTAACGAGACGTCAATAGTAACTCAGAAGAACTTTAAATGTCTCGGCAGTGCAACGTTCATTTAACCTTTTCATTGGTTAATCAACTCGTGTTTTACGATAAATACATAGTTCCATCGTAAAGCTTACGCTCATGAAGGAACTTTTTTTTTCTTGGAGCGTCGAGCTGCAATTAGATTCGATTAGTATTGAACATTTGCTTATTAAAACTTTCCAAAGAGTAATTACGTAAGTCGTTGTTGAATCGTTTTTTCGTACAACTCGCGTTAACATATGACCGATTACAATTATTAATAAATCGTATATTTTTCCCAGGAAATAAGAATATTTCCAAAAAAATAATATGAATGGTAATGCATATTCAAACAAAATTCAACGTGTTATCGTAACGCGGTTTTTCTCAGAATGGAGTTAGTCACGGTTTTGTAACAAAGCGATACAAGATTACAAAGAAAGATGACTAATAATTGTAGGAAATATGGAAAATATTTGATCGACACTAACGCGTCGAAAAAAGCTACATTACTTACATATGTAATTCATTCAGAATAAATCATTCATATTGGTCAACTCCATAAATTGAACTTTTGAATTTATTATTATTTTTGTTATTATTTTGAGAAGAATGAACTTACAGAAGCAATAATTTATTATAACATTGATTTAAACTTCGATTTAAACTCACAGAATTATAGAATCTAGATGGAAAATGTAATGATGAAAAAGCATCAAGCATCTTTCGAATTTTTTTTCATAGTTTAATATTAAAAAAGAGAACTTGATAAGGAAAATTGGTTGAAAATAAATTGCAAATAGAATGTTTATGCGATGTTAAAATATTAATCATTCATTGAAATTAAGAAACTGAGAAGAACTGGAATGTTTTTCAATCCTGAAATAAATCTCAAGTTTTCTATCTCACATTTTTCTCTATCTTATAATTTTCCTCACGCCAGTCTCCTTTTCTAGGATCTTTCATTCGACTAGGCTCTTTTCATTCATTAAAAAAAATTAGAATCGATCAGTTTAATACTTACAAAATACTCACCGCTAAGAAAATTTCAATATTGAAACCCTGCGATCTTTTATCGATTGAATGAAATCCCCTCTACTTACTCGATTCTCATAAAAAAAAAAAAAACCGAATCCCCTTCCGATGTTTCCATGTCTAAGGAACAGAGATTCTCGGTGGTGATACAACCAGTTGCCCGAGGAGGAAGTTTAAAGCCTCGAGTTACGGAATCGCGTTGTGAAACGAAGGCCGATTGATCTCTCGAACTACGAACAGAGTTCCCGACCTTTTGATTTTTCTTCACGGTCGGTTCGTGCATCGCGTTTAACGCTGGCTCGCGATTTCTATGTGTGATGGCCCGTCACACCGTTGATATCGATAAAGTCTGAGTTTCGAGGCTCAAGAGCTCTATTGGAGGAAGCTCGACGTTGCATGCCACGGGAGGGAAAGAGGCCGGCAAACGAGTCGAAAAGGGGATGTTCCCGGGTTGAATGAAATGAAAATTCTCGGCACGGCCCGGACCGTAACGACTCCCCATACATCTCGTTTGGGTACTCGAGCACGAAATCTGTTCATACTATTGCGATATTTATGAGCGGAACGCGATCGACGTCATTCACGTTTCTCGTCTTCGTTTTACTTGTTTCCTTTCTCGATTAATAGAAAAATACTCGTAATTTTTCATTTATATAAATTGTTGTCCAATTTACAGTGACAGAGTTTTTCGAATGATTTTCGAATTAGAAGGAAAAATCGAATTTTTCCATTCGAAGCTTCGTTTTCGAGAAACTTGAAACTTTTTTTTTAATTTGTCAAATACATTTTGAATTTGGGCTAGATATCTGGTAGAAAAGTATAGATATCCACAAATATCTGATATTCATATATGAGCATATTTAATGATGGAGGAAATATAATCGATTGTCCACAAGTGTCTGTAAAGGTGTAATATTTGTATAATGTTCACTCGACTGTAGAATTCGTAAGATTTTATCAGAAAGAAAATGTGCAACTTGGATACTTTTTAACCAATAAACGTGCTTCTCGTAATATCTTATGAGAACAAGCAGATATTACAGTTAGACGTATGTTACGATCGAATTATGCGTCTGTGAAACTCTCTTCCTTCTCGCGAAGGTAAAGCAATATCGGGCATATATATATGAGAATATTATTCAAGATGTGCGGATTTCGTACTCTAACAGAGTACCTTTTGAGGTCTGATATTCTGGAACATGGAAGATTTCCTGTAATACGGTATTATTTATTTGTTTATATTTGCTTACATTTTGCTTGTATCAATATTAATAAAGATGGAAAGCGGTAGTTCCTTAAAAATTATATAAATATTTCTCTCTTTTGGAGAGATAATGAAAAGTTATTCCATAAATTCCTTTTATCAAACGATAATTTTTTTCAAATATTATTAAGTTACAGATTAATTAGAGATTAATTTGGTTTGGAAACATT